TGAGGGGGAAGTGATAAACCACAGAACTTATATGCATGTATGTATGAACAATGGACATGGACAACAAAGGTGGGACAGGGTGTGCAGTGAGGGGGAGTGGGGAATCAGAGGCGGAAAGTGGAGAAACATCTGTAACAAAAATAAATACATAAATTTAAAAAATTTCAATAAAGAAAATTTTTTTCAAAAAAGAAAAGCATTTGTTTTTATATAAATAAACAATAAAAGAGTTGTAAAACCAGTTGTGGTCATATGAAAGTAAAAGCCCAATTTCAAATCATGACAGATGTTATTAAGTGGTTAGAGCATAGACCCATGCACCAAAGGGTTGCAAGTTAGATTCCTGGTCAAGGGCATATACCTGGGTTGTAGGTTCCATCCCTGGTTCTGGTTAGAGCACTTGCAGGATCCAACCAATCAATGTCCCTTCCCTAACTCCACCCTCAGGAGCAACAGGCTGCCCTGGAATTAGACAGGCAGGTGGGCACTGTCTCCCCAGGGAGCTCAGAAAGGCTTACCACCATGCAGCAGGCTGGACCAATGGGAGAAGAAACAGCCCTGTGACTTTAGTTGTACATGTGTTGCCAGCAAGTCCAGACTGAGGTCTTAAATATTTTGTGGTCATGTTTATATTTATATTTTTTCTTTTGTAACTTTTAGATTTTGTTGTAGCTCTTCTTTTTCCATTTAAATTTGCTAGAGGTTTTCTATTTGTTGTTTATCCTCACCCAATATTTTTCAAATGATTTTTAGACAGAATAAAAGGGAAGGAGGGAGAGAGAGAGAAAATCATCCCTGTAAGAGACACATTAATTGACTGCCTTCCACACAACCCCAACACGGCCAGGATGGAAACAGCAACCCACATACATTCCTTGACCAGGAATCGAATGTGCCGCCCTTTGGTCCATGGGATAATGCTCTAACTGCTTAGCCAAACCAGCCAGGGTTGCTAGAAGTTTAAATGGGATTCCTTAAATGATCAAAACTCAGTTTCCCAAAGACTGGACAACAAAGAACCTTCCAGGTAGAAGTACAGAGAGGGCTGGGAGTAGAGAGCAGTTTCCCTACACATTGGAACTGTTTCCTTTGACCCAGCTGTGATCACTCTGAGTTCTGGGGTTTTCTATGCCCCTGTTTACTTCTTTTGACCACATGCACTCTGAGCACATTCTTGTTTTCCTACACATGGAAAGCCTGAGGAATCTCATATTATTTGGGTGAGAGGTCTAAGGAAACCTCAAGCAGGAGGTGTAGGACCCTTAGAAAGTAATCTGGAAGTCAAGCAGGTGAGGAGCATCTTATGTCCTAGATGCAGATGTTGGTTGGCTTCTGCTCACTGCTGCCTCACATTCAGCTCCACAGAAAAGGGCTGGTGGTTTAATCCTGGCCACTGCTGACATTCTCTAATTGTTGAAAAAGAATACTTCCATAAATATAGGCTTTTATCTTTAGGCAATCATTTTAGTGAGCAGTTACTGAGATCTCCCTATGCTACCCATATGGGGTGCCCTGTGCAAACAAAGCAAAAGTGGGCACAACAGAAGACCTGCCTCCCCTCAGAGACAGACAGCTTCACAAGTGCCCATGGCTCAGCTTAGTGAGACAAGTTCTTCAACAGAAGTTAGATAGCTTTAGAAGAGTTAACATTGTGCCTGGGCATTAAAAGATGAATAAGGGTCCATGAAGAAGAGGCATCTCAGATCCCAGATCAGAGGATGGCCAGACAGAGGGCTGTGACAGGCTACTTCAGGCTCCCCTCCAGGCACTCCACACCTTCTGAGTTAACCTGGACCTATTCAATGTCTATACCCATGTCTTTAGTGTTCTAACAGGCTAGGGCACACATTCACTCTTCTTTCCTTGGCTTAGATCTTGATTTGCCAGTAGCTCTCAGTCTGGGAAGGGGATCATCCAACTAGGAACCTAGCAAGAGTAGACACACTTGTAAGGGTCAGCTGTGTCCATGTAAAAGTGATCAGTTCTGGGTATGATCATTCCCATACTCTTCTTGGCTGCATAGTAAGGACAGATGCAGTGCATACAGGTATAAACCAATCCTCATGCTAAGGGCGTGTGTGGACATTTCTTCAGAATGCACATGGGCTCTCAGACTAGGAAGCATATTAATGCTTATAGGACAGATCCATGTTGTACAGACCCCTCTAGTGGTAAAGTGGGAGTGTCCTCTGTGTTTATTGTTTGGACACTGTCAAGACACTTGTAACCTAGCCAGGTGTGTTAGGACTCTACTTCACACAAATCTTCACAGCCTGTTCCCCTGAAAACCCATGAAGGTGTTCCTGAGATTGTTGACATCCATTCCAGCCCGAAACATGTACAATACTTAGCAGGCTAAAAAACTGTATTACTTATGCTTCAGCTGCAGTTTTGTTGAACTTGAAATCACCTGAGAAAAAATGCAATCTTTATTTTGTTTGCTTTGATTAAATGACTATACTGAAGTATGATTGATATACAAAAACTGCAACATCCAACATCTACAACAAAAACAGTTTGGAAATTAGTATACACCATGAAACCATCACTACAACCAAGGCCATACACTATTGCATGCAAAAGTGTCCTCTGATGTCCTCTGTTAAAAATTTAGTTATTTTTTTTTGTGTGTGGTAAGAGCACTATCTACCTTTTTAGCATATTTTTAAGTGCACAATACAGTATTTTTAGCTGTAGGCTCCATGTTGTACAGCAGATCTCCCAAAAATTATTCATCCTGCATGACTCTATGCCCTTTGACCAACATCTTTCCATTGCACCTCCTTCAGTTCTGGTGACCACCACTCTGCTTTCTTTTCCTGGAAGCTTAACCATTTTGGATTTCTCATAAAAGTGGAATCATGCAGTATTTGTCTGGTGTCTGGCTAATGTCACTTGCCATAATGTCCTCCAGGTCCATCCACACTGGGGCAAATTTCCTTCTCATTTTATGGTTCAATAATTTTGCATAAGATACGACCTGTCTGGGTGAAGTTCTGGTGCACATCTGGCTGTTTTTCCTATGTACTCATATCAAATTGCTTATCTGTGGCAAATAACACATCCCAACTGGCTATTGTCCTACCAGGACTGAGTTGTTGCTGGTGGGAAACAATTGAACTATAAACCTAGAACCTTGTCTGAAAGGAAAAATCACAAAGACACATTGAGTATAAACAGGTATGCAAAAAGTGATGCAGTAAGCTCAGCTTAATCCTCCAACATCCCTAGTGAGGCCACAGTCCCAGGAGCCAATGAGTCAAGTCTGTTTCAGAAGACAAAGGGGGTCTGAGGAGCCAGTGGGACAAGGAAACCTGGGACCCTTAAAAACCTTAAATCCCTTCTGCACATTTCTAATAAATACATATTCATCACTGGGCATGTTGTCTTCTAGGACCCACAAAGCTGGCCCTGGGAAACACATTCTTTTTTGTTCTGTCTCTCCTTATCTTGCTGAGCTACACTCTACTGCTGTGTCTGGGGATCACTTTCATTTCTATCTCTTACATTGTGTCCTCATTTTAGCATCTGATTCTGAGGCATACAAGTGAAGCATAGTTTTCTCTCCCCACTGAGACACTGAGGGAGTGCAATGGCTGGGATTCAGATACAGGGGACCTCTTCTCCTATCACTGATCCTTCCCAACCCACTTGCCTGGGCCTTGTTCCTCAGTACTGAACAAGAGACAATGTTAACAGCTTTGGATGGAGAAGGCAGTGTATAGGTATATTGATCCTTCTTGATATCATCCCTGAGAGATGTGTAAGACACTTCCAATGTGATTGTTCAATTGCTGGTTTGCCCTGTAACAACACCAATTATTCTGTTGGATATTCAAACTCCATGTGTTGTCTGAATTCAGGTTCATATGTATTAGAGCTTTTCGTTGAATTAATTCTTATTATCACATAACCTGCCATTATATTGCTATAGATGCTTTTAGCACTCAATTCAACCATGTTTCCAGTGTGCTGATACTGGATCCCCCTGCTGCAGGGAGCAGGTAGGGCACCTAGAGTCAGAGTGGGAGGGGTAGGTATTGCCCAAGGACCAAATTCATTCTCTGCTTGTCTATACAATAACATCTTATTGGAAGAAGGACACATCTGTTTGTGTTCACATTGCCTATGGTGCTTTCTAGATACAAGGCAACAGTAGAGAGTTGAGAAGAAGACCACATGGCCCACAAAGGCCCAAGAGTTCTCTTTCCTTCTTTATAGAAAAATGTGCCAAATCCTGTTCTAGGCAATTTGGGCAGTGTCTCCATAGCATCTGGCACAGCAGTGCCTCTCAATCTTTAACTGTCCATGGGTTCCCTAGAAATTTGTGAAAATGTAGTCTCCTTGTTCAAAGGTATAGTCCCTGGGAACATGCATTTCTAAAAGCTTCTAAGAGCTGCTGCTGTTGCTGGCCTTACTTGCTCTTTGAGTGGAGGCTAGAATCCCCTCCTACATTGTCCCAGCTGTCATGAACCAGGGAATGTGCGTGAGCAAGACCCCCAGAACAGAAGCCACATGTGTCCTGAGGGGCCTGAGGCCCTGTCTGAGTCAATTCTTCAGACAAAGATTCCCTAACTTGGTCATATTCATTGTTGTACCTCTGGTGATATGGGTTATCTATCCCTCACGAGCCCTGAGCCAGCATCTCAGAGGCACCTTGTTTGTGCCACCTGGAGCTGGCTTAGGGAGTGCAGGAAAGAGAGAGAGCCCACCTTGGGCCACCAAACTTTCCTGCTGGGATGACTCCAGAACCCCCCCCCCATCCCCCTCAGTCAGGAATGATGCTATACAGAACCTCTTGAAATGCTGATGTTTAATGTTCTATTCTACATGGGAAAAAAATGGACAATGAGGAATTTCCACAATGCCCATGTATGAGACTCCAGATATTTTCAAAGTAGAGAACAGAGTTCAGAGCTGCTCAGCCACTGAAGGGTCACCCACAGAGAGTTGCTGGTGTCAAAGGAGGATAGAGGTGCTGGGCTGGAGTGTGATATCACTTAGTAGATCCCTTCCAGGCAGGTCTTGTTTAGGAGTTTGAACATTGTTCTCCAGGGATTGGTGCTGATGGTGAAGAAGCAGGTGAAGGTCTGAGGGAATAAGCACAAACATAAAGTTTGGGTGAAAAAGCCTTGGGAAGCTTGTGACTTCAGTGCTGAAGATAGCATCCATCCCACACTTGTATTTTCAAGGAGAGCTGCTGGGGGTGCAGACTCTAGGCCTCAGGTGAGCCCCAACCTAAATCTTGGATGTTCCTGATCTGGCTCTCTCTTGACCCTAGGGTCTCTTTTGTCCCTCTGCTCTCCCCAGGCCTGTGGCTCCCATGAGAATCCCTAGGCGTCCCAGTGTGACTCATGCCTCTAGTACAGCCACATGTGCTCCTTCCCAGTGAGCCTTATCTCAAGTGGCCCTGACCTGAGGTGGGCATGTTCTACAGCATAGGTTCACTTTCCCTTATCCCCCAAGCAGGAACTGCAGCTCAGCAGGGCCTGGGGCAGAGCATGGGACACAGGGAAGTGGGCTATGGGTTCCCCTCACCCAAACCCTTATCAAACTAGTTACAGGGGGATCGGAGAATTGGCCAGTCAGTCAAAGATGATGGTGGCCACCCCTGACATATTCCTCCTTCTAAAAGCAGGAAATGAAAGTGACTACAGAACAGGAAGAGGATATCCTGTGGCCAGAACAAGGAGAAAATGGACCCTAGAGTCAGGAGCAATCTGTCACCACCAGTATGGTCCGAGGAGGTTCAGACAGCTTAATAGATGAGTGGAGAGTCAGGATCCCAGATTGGCCAGAGGCCTACAAGTGGACCCTGGGGCTTATCTGCCAAGCTGCGCTTCATATTCAGCACAAGCGGTGGCTATAGTATGGCCAGCAGTTGTCTCACTCTTCTCTGTCCCTAGGAATGGTATGTTCTCTGCCCTACCCCACTCCTACTACACTCCTATGCAGGTCCACAGCTGTAGAACTTGAAGGAGGCTCATGTGTATCTTACGTTGTTCAGCTCTGGGCTTTGTTGAAAGGGACAGTTGTCAATGTCATCATCAAATTTCCCACACTTGGTCCTGCGAAGTTCCAGCTTCATGGAGAAAGCCATCATGGTCTCTACCTGTGGTATGCATAGACATTAAAGAAGAATCATCCCTTATTGTCTTAAGTAGTTGCTAGTGTAGACACATGAAGTGTAGGAGCAGACCCAAACAGTACTCTATTTGGAGCTTTCCTCTGGGTCTGGATCAGCTCCCTTGGAATAAAGCCACACTTTGGTTATTCTGGGAAAATAGGCACATGGCCCAGTGGAGGCCCCAGGTAGAAACAGGCTGATCACACACTATTAATACCTCACACTGCAGCCTCAGATTTCCAAATGCCATGATGAAACCCCACCTTCTATTTCAGCAAGATTTTAGCTTCTACAGCATTCGCAGAGATGGGTGACAAATGCCTGGAAGGGTGTTGGCTCTGCAAGAGTTTGCTTGAAAATCTTGACCTTGGGGTGGGAGACTCATCTATAGCCCCACTGTCATACAATGCTAGTAAAACACACCACACACACACACACACACACACACACACATTTGAGGTGATAGCTTCAAGAAACAATTTCTATTACAAAGTGTACTGTGAAATGTTCTGTACGCTTCTCCACTCCATTCTACTCATTTTATTCCATATTCTCCCACTATATCCCATCCAGTATTCCTGACACCCAAACTAGAGTCACCAATCTGTGACTCTAGATATAAAAACTCCAACCAGAGGTCCAACCTCAGGGACCCCGAGTTGCCTGACCAGTGAAGATGTTGCATACCATTGTCCACAGAGGGTTAAGCTCAGTGGAGGGTGGAGACCCTCTGCTCTTCTTGTGGATTCTTTTTTTTTAAATTAATTAATTTTTCTTACAATTGTTTCTTCTTTTCCCCCCACTGATTTCCCCCTCCCACATACTCCCCACCCTGTCCCCAGCTTTATTGTCCATGTCCATTGTTCATGTATACATGTATATAAGTTCTGTGGTTTATCTCTCTCCCACCACCCCCTCTTCCGGGGATTGTCAGTCTGTACCCTACTTCCACGTCTCTGGAACTACCCCATTCCTCAGACTGTTATGTTCATTATATTCCACAAAAAAGTGAGCAGAGGTCCAGAGGGTGAAAGAGTAAGGCCCCTGACACCACACACACACATTCACACATACTCAGAGTCATACAACCAGAAGTGCTCCTTTGAGAGCATGTTTTTATTGTTCAGGTATGCAGCAATTTTAATGTAATAAAAATTGCATTCTGAAAGAAATTCCAAAACAAGGAGAACCATTGTCAAGGGAAGAGTGTAAAATAACATCAATCCACATAGATGGATACCACAGCAGGGAGCCCAGAGTTTATGAAAGTCACAACAGAGGCCCTGACTTCACAGTAGAACCTCTGGTTGAGGGGGAGAAGTCACTGTTTCTGATCCTCAACCCTGCTCTCCTTGCCCTCCACTCTTTCTATGGCTGTCGCTCTCTTTCTTTCTAATTATCTTATTTTATTTCTTTGAAATAGCTCTTCACTCTATCTTTTCAAATATTTTATCTGTGTGTCTCTTCCTTTCTGGATATTTTATCCCCTCATAGGCTATATTTTATATCATTCCTCATTAAACAATGTCATAAAGACTGAAAAAATATATTGTACATGAGTAGATACTGATCTAATTTTTTTTAATTTCCATGTAAAAACTTCTATAAAATCTGAAAATAAATAGGTGGAATTATTTTTAATATTTTTTCTTCATTGATTTTAGAGAGAGAGGAAGGGAGAGGGAGAGAGAGATAGAAACATTGATGAGAGAGAACATCACCAGTGGGGGCCACCTCCTGCATGTCCCCCACTGGGAATCGGGCCCACAACCTGGGCAAGTGCCCCAACCAGGAATCAAACTGGTGACCACTTGGTGCAAGGGTCGAAGCTCAACCACAGAGCCACACCAGGTGGGTGGTGGTATTTTTTTTTTTTTTTCATAAACTTCAAGTAGCATACAAGATCCTTTGGTATGTCTCCTGTCCTTTACCCTGACTTAATACAATCGAAGGCCAGCAGAACAGAAAAATATGGTCACCTACCTGCTCCTTCCAGGAATTCTGGATGCGCACCAGCTTATAGGCATTCATGTCCTTGCTCTTTAGGTTGAATATGTGTAAGGCATACTCCACAGTGGCAGGGAAATAACTGCCCATGACTTTTTGGTCATCATTCTTCCTTAATTCTTCAGAAGTCCAGCTGTGAATCACTAGGAACTGGAAACCTATGAGAAGCAGGAACATATCCCCAGGCAGAGGACACCTCGATTGCAGGAACAGCAGGGCTGCAGGAAACCAGCTACCCATGGCCCTTCCGGCTCAGACTCCCACCAGATTCTACCTGGGCAGTGGTCCAACTTATCTGTTCCAAGACATATCCTTCCTGTGGGCCTCCTCTCTGCTATTACACCCTGTCCCTTCCCATATGTGACCCTGTCTCCTCTATTCCTTCATCCAAAGCAGTTAAAACTGTCTCCTGTTCAGTACTGAGGAACAAGGCCCAGGCAGAGTGGATGGGGAAGGATCAGTGACAGGAGAAGCGGTCCACTGTAGCTGAAACCCCTGTAGCACTCCCTCAGTGTCTCAATGGGGAGAAAAGACTATGCTTCATTTGTATGTTTCAGAATCATGCTAAAATGAGGACACAAATGTAAGGGGTAGATATGAAGGTGATCCCATGACACAGCAGAAGAGTAAAGGTCATTAAGACAAGGAGGATCAGAGCCAAAAAGGATGAGTTTCCCAGAGCCAGCTTTGTGGGTGATAGAAAACAACCTGTAACCACATTCTGGGAAAGGGTCCCGAACACCTGCCTGAGAATCATCAGTCTGACTTGTGGTATCTGTGGAACCTTGGAATGCAGGCTAGACTTGGTCAGTTTTTCTTGCTGCTTTAGGCCTGATGCACTGACACACTAGTCTTATGCCAAAGAGTCAGTTGATATTAGCGAGCAATGATAAAATGGGGTACCCACAATAACTGGCATAGCCATGATAGAAGTTTGGGCAGAGACAGTGGTAGTCTTAAGAATCCAAAATGCCAAGGAGACAGGGACAGAGTCAGGGACTAATGTACAGGAACAATGATGCATCGATTCAATACCAAATACTTTCTGCTGACACAGTTGGTCATAGGTCCTGTCTGTGACAGAGTTCTGGATGATGGGTTGAAAATTAGTATGAGTCCAGGTCCATGGTACTGCCATGTGATTTGCAGAAAAGTGTAGATTCCAGGAGCTTTGTGGTAATTAAATGACCCTTGAGTTGTTGCCAGGACAGGAAATGCAGAGGGAGAGTGTAAGAGCATAATTCTTCTTTCAAGGTGAGCTCTAGCCAGAAGGTGCATTAGAACATTGGACAGAGGCACAGCTCCAAAACTGAGGGACTCAGTCCCTGCTCTGTCTAGTCTGCACACCTGAGTCACCCAGATGCTCTCTCCTTATCATCTGAAACATTTATTACCCACTTAACAAAGTGTCATTGCCAAGGGTAGAAATGTATTGCTTGCATTAAAAGCCCCCATTGTGGGCCAATTCTTTCTCATATATTTCTAGTCAAATGGCAACTAAAAGAATGTTCTTATAACAATGGAAATAAGATTGGATCGAGTGCTGAAAGCATCTATAGCAATACAATCTCAGGTTATATTATAATAAGAAATAATTCAACAAGAAGCTCTAATACCTATGAACCTACATTCAAACAATACATGGAGCTACAATACCCAATAGAATAATTAGTGCTATTACAGGGCAAACTGGCAATTCCACAATCACGTTAAGAGTATCTTACACATCTCTCGGGGATATTATCAAGAAGGATAAACATTATAAAAAATATAGCTGAGTTGAAAGATACAATTAACTAGTCTACTTAAACAGTTTTCTGCATATTCTTCTATCCAGTATGGAATGTGGATTTTTAAATAATGAAGTGGTAATCAAAATTAATAGTGTTAAAATGTTACAAATATTTCTTTGCATCTTCTTCAATGTATTTTAATAATGTCTTGTACTTTTTAGTGTATAGGTCCTTCACATCCTTTGATAAGTCTTTGTTTATGGACTGTAAGAATCAACATAGTTAAAATGGCCATAATACTCAAAGCAATATACTGAGTTAATACAATCTCCATCAAAAATCCCAAGGGAAGTTTTTAAAGAAACAGAAGAAAACAATTACAAGATTCGTATAGAACTTCAAAAGACCCCCAAAAGCAAAAGCAATCTTGATAAAAAAGAACAAAGCTGGAGGTACCACACTTCTTGACTTTACAATATACTTCAAATAATCAAAACAGCATGATATTGACATAAAAAACCAGATGCACAGACCCCATATGTACATGGGCAAATACTTCTTTACAAAAGAGCCAAAAGCATACCATGGAGTAAAAAAAGAAAAAGAAAAAAAAAGCCTCTTTAATAAATGGTGCTAGGAAAATTAGAAAGCCACATGCAAAAGAATAACAATAGAATACTGTTTGTCACCATATACAAATATTAACTGAAACTGGATCAAAACCCTAAATATGAGACCTGAAACAATAAATTACATGGGGAAAAAATAGATACTAAATACTTGAACCTTGGTCTTAGAGAGGATTTTATGAGTTTGAAACCAAAGGCAAAAGAAATAAAAGCAAAAATAAATAAATGAGCCTATATCAAACTAAGAAGCATCTTCGCAGAAAAATTAACTGTCAACACAACAAAAATGCTATAAACTAAATAGAAAAAGATATTTGCAGACAATATCTGTGACAAAGGATTAATAACTAAAATATATAAAGAACACATACAACTCAACACACACACACACATACACAGAAAAAAAAAAAAAACTTAAAAAGTGGGCTGAGAACCTAAAGAGACACTTCTCCCAAGAAGACATACAAATGGCCAACAGATATATGGAAAGATGATCAACTTCACTAGCTATTAGAAAAGTGCAAATCAAAACTACAATGAGCCTGGCCAGTTTGGCTCAGTTGTTGGAGCGTCGGCCTGTGGAGCAAAGAGTCCCAGGTTCGGTTCCCACTAGGGATATGTACCAAAAAAAGAAACAAACAAAAAACTACAATGAGATACCAACTCACACCTATTAGAATAGCTATTTTCAACAAGACAGGTAATAACAAATATTGAAGAAGTGTAGAAAAAGGCACCCTTATTCACTTCTGGTGAGAATGTAAACTAATACAGCCACTATGGGAAGCAGTATAGAAGTGCCTCAAAAAATTAAGAATACAGTTATTATAAATAATTTATAATAATTATGAATTTACTTAGTAATAAAAACAACAAAATAGTAAAAACATAACTAAAGTATGTGGCTATGTAAGTTAATACCTTATCCTTAAATATCTCATTTGTTAATTATTTGTAAACAACACATACAACACATTTTAAAATTTGGCAGTTGAATTTTATAGTCATAAATGTATTTATTAAAAAATAAAATAGGATGTGAGAAAAAATGGTGATGGAGTGAATGGAAGCTACACAGACCATCTCCCAGGACCAAATTGTAATTACAACGAAAATAAAGACAAATTGTCAGGAAGGGGCAACCGAAAGGCAGCTTGAAGGACCATATAATCAGGGACACTGACTCAATCCTGGTAGGCTTGCGAGGACGTGAGAGGGGGCCGGGAGCCCATGGTCCGCAGTGGCCTGGGCTAGGACCAGGGGACTGGGATGGGACCAGGGGACTCGGCTGGAAACTGCACCCTCGGCTGAGATCAGCGGCCTCCTCCGCTGGGTCCTGCAAGCTTGGCTGAGTACTACACCCTCGGCTGGGTCCAGATGCATTGGCTGGAAGCTGCTGCTGCCTCAGCTGGGTTCCGCAACCGCAGTTGGGTCCTGTGGCCTCCGCAGGGTGCTATGCCCTCGACTGGTGCCGCAGACTCTGCCGACCTTAGCTGGGAGCAGCGCCTTCGGGTTAAAAGTCCCAGGCAGCTCCATGACACAGAGTCTGGACAGAGGCTAAATTGGCAGCAGCCACTCACCTTGGGCTCCAGCAGAGGGAAGGCAGACTGGACTGTAACTGTATGGGGACACTCTGGATTTGGAGGGTGCTCAGAGCTTTTGCTGAGAGCAGCCACACAGGACAGTGGTCATCTCCACCTGGTGGCCATTTAAATGCTAATTGAGGCCCATTAAATAACAGCATGTGCCCCACCCTCGGGAAATCCTCTTACACTGAGTACCTGAGGGAGTTTTTCATTCAACTCAGAAACCAAGGTTCTTCAGGTGACCACTACTAATAGCTTCCAGGCAAAAAAGCTATAGGATAACTACCATTCCCTGGGCTAGCAACACTAACCAGAAAAGCTAAGACTTGGTGGTGGTGTTTAAAGTGGGCCCTCCTGCATCATCAAAACCCAGGAGAGGGATCCACAAACAGCAGAACACCAACACCCACAGGGAAAATTTGGAAGACTCCAAAGCCCACTGTGATAGCCAAAATGGTGAAAAACAGAAACAAAAGCCAAATGAAAGAAAAAGAGACCTCTACAGAAGATGCGATAAATGAGGTGGAGTTAAGCAAGTTAACAGAACTAGAATTCAGAACCATGATGTTGAGGAAGCTCAACAGCATGTGTAAGGATATGAGCACCATGAGTAAAGAGATAGAAATGTTGAAAATCAACCAGTTGGAAATTAAAAACGACATATCAGAAATGAAAAACACATTGGAAGGTCTAAAAAGCTGAGTAGAGGAAGCTGAGGACCGGATCAGTGAAAAAGAAGATAGTGTAGAAAAAAATCAACCAAACAGAAAACCAAAATGAAAAAAAAAAAAAAAAAAAAGATTAACAAACAGGAAGACAGCTTAAGAGAACTGTGGGACAACTGGAAACACAGTAATATTCGCATAATATGAGTCCCCGAAGAAGAAGAAAATGAGCAAGGGTTAGAGAATATATTCAAAGAAATAGTAACAGGAAACTTCCCTAATTTGGGGAAGCAAGAAGGCATTCAAGTTCAAGAGGCACAGAAAGCCCCAAGTAAGAAGAACCCAAACAGGCCCACACAAAGACACATAGTAATTAAAATGCCACAAATTAAAGACAAAGAGAGAATCCTAAAAGCAGCAAGAGATAAGCAACAGGTTACCTGCAAAGGAAACCCCATAAGGCTTTCAGCTGACTTCTCACAAGAAACACTACAGGCCAGAAAGGAATGGCATGAAGTAATCAAGGTCATGAAAAACAAGGATCTGAATCCAAGACTACTCTACCCAGCAACGCTATCATTCAAAATAGAAGGTCAAATAAAGAGCTTTCCAGACAAAAAAAAAAAAAAAAAAGGCTAAGGGAATACGTGAGCCCCAAACCAGCCCTGCAAGAAATGTTAAAAGGACTGCTGTAATTACCAGGAGAAATGGGAAGAAAAACAGAATGACACTAAACAAAAATGGCAATAAATAAGTACATATCAATACTCACCTTAAATGTAAATGGTCTGAATGCTCTGATAAAAAGAAACAGAGTAGCTGATTGGATAAGAAAGCATGACTCATCTATATGTTGTTTACAAGAGACCCACCTCACAACAAAAGTCTCACATAGATTGACAGTGAAGGGATGAAAAAAAATCTTCCAGGCAAACAGAAAGGGAAAAAAAATAGCTGGGGTAGCAATACTCATATCTGATCAAATAGATTTCAAAATTCAGACCATAACTAGGGACATAGAAGGCCACTACACTATATTGAAAGGATCTATCCAAAAGGAAGATATAACATTGATAAACATATATGCACCCAATATAGGAGCACCAAAACATATTAAAAATCTTCTGGAGAACTACAAAGGAAAAATTGATAGCAATACAATCATAGCAGGGGACTTCAATGCCCTGCTGACATCACTGGATAGATCCTCTAGACAAAAAATTAGCAAGGAAACAGAGACTCAAAATGAAGCACTGGACCAAATGGATTTAATACATATCTACAGAGAATTATACCCCAAAACTACAGAATTCACATTCTTCTCAAGTACACATGGGACATTCTCAGAGACCACATGGTAGGGCACAAACTAAGTCTCTACAAGATCAAGAAGACTGAAATCATATCAAGCATCTTCTCAGATCACAATGGCATAAAACTAGAAATCAATTG